TCAGTAGTTCTGCTCGAACTGAAAGAGTGATCTTCGGGTGGCCTTTTGAGTCTCAATAACTGCTGTCAAATTAGTTCAGCATTAGCACTGTGAATCAGATTCCAGGTGGTTCTTTCTCTCCAACTTTTATGAAAATGTGACATCTAGTTTATAGTACACTTCTTCTGTGATGGCTATAGTTTTCATGTGTTCATTCATTTTCATAAATATTTTCTGACTGGCTACAGTGTGGAAAGCAGGAAATAAACATGTGTGAGTTGCAGTTACTGTCTTTCTTCTATGTGACAAGCCCACATGGTTTTATAGGCCTTCCGTGGAGCAGTGGTTGAAACTTTGATCCCTAAATCTACATTCTTGTGCTTACATTCTTTTTTCAGTAAGACAGCAGGTGCAGGCTGGTATCTATCCTTTTGCCTTTCCCAATGATGCGACTCTCATGTCATAGTCACTCATTTGTCACTGTATTTGACAAAGGCAGTCCTGGATCTTGGGCACAAGCATTGCATCCTCTCTGATAGCATACTTTCCAGATGAGCTTTGCCTTTTTGTTTTGTTAAACCAAGTCAAAATGAGAGTAGAATCAAGAAGAGTTTGTTGTTATGAAAAAATGTAACCGAACATTTTCTGAATGAAGTATAATTTAAATGTTATTTTCATATTCTGTAGAATCCACAGGGAAAGGCCTTGAAGAGTAATTAGTAGAGTCTCTGGTTTCAAAACTGAACTCTGCCCACCTATCTCAGAGTGATGGTTAGTCACCTGGTCATCAAACCTCCTTAGATCAGGAGAGTCTTGACTTAACTTGGTAGTGGGTTCCTGTCTATGACATTTCTCTTGGCCTTTCAGTCTGTGTTATCTCTAACCTGCTGCCAGCCAAATCTATGGTTGGGAATATGGGCTAGTTGGTCAGCATCTGCCATTACACATTTTATGTGTACATAATCTTATCTATCCAGATCACTTAGAGATGGGGATCTCCTAGATATGTAGAATTGTGCCCAGACACTGTGCTAGGGCTGCTTTCCTCGACCACCCATTAACCCATATGTGTCAGGCATCTGCTACAGCTCAGGCAGGCCTGGTCCCCACCCCACCCACTCCAGTGCTTCCTCTAAGCCCCGGCATCTTCCTATCCCACCCAGAAGCTTCCTTCTGGCCAGATTCTGTGTGTGCTCCAGACCTCCACCCTCCCCTTCTTATTCCTTCTTGGTTTCTTTTGGTGTCCTTACCAACTCCTTGTAGAACTTCATCTTCACTTAGATGTCCAGGTCCTCAGCAGCCTCAAGAACCCCAGGATCTCATATTCTTTAGGCCTTCAGCCCTTCTCATCTAGGCAGACATACCAGGGTTGTCTGCTGGCTTCTTGATGACTAAGAGACCATGCCCCTCAGTATAAGTGAGAGGACCAGTGCAGGGTACCCCTGGATCCATGGACAACATGTCACATCTAAATCCATTCGCACTGTATTCACAGCTACTACTCGAGAGAGGGCAAGCCCTCAGTAGAAGTTAGGAACAACTTGCCCATGTCATGAGTTTCATTTCCACCAGATGAGTTGAAATGCAAGAATTTCAGACTCTTAGAGCTTAGTGAAAAGTGTTAACAACATCCGAACAAAGCTGTACATTCGAACATCCCCTTTGAAGGCCTCAGAAACAAAAGCCTGAAAGCCCAGGCATTTAGGATGCTGACCTTGGGGCTTCTCCGTAACAAGCAGAGATTACATTGTGTAGGAGTCTTGCTCAAAGATGAGGGAAAAGTCATTCTCTTAAATTAGTTGGGTTGTTTCCCAAGAGATTAAAAAAAAAAAAAATCAGAGTCCTATTGGCAAACTAGTAAGCTCTTCTGGCTACAAATTTACAGAATTAAATGTTCCTGAGAGCAAGAACTCTGAGATATCTAGCTAATAAATAACATGTACTAGGTGATGCACGATGTTTATTATATCTCAGTGACGCACACTGATGTAGAAGTCAGTGCCTAAGAAAGGACTGGAAATGATCAGATGGAAATTTCCCTGAGAATATGAACTGAAACTTGTATTCGTTTGATCATTAAAATGACAGCTCCTTCGTGATGTCATAATAGACCTGTTAATAAACCTGTTAGACATGAACATTTCCATAAGCAGCTGCTTTTCTTCATTGGTAAGTTAGAAAGCATTAAATGAGGGGTGTTTGCTATCAGAGTTTGATCATTAAAATGACAGCTCCTTCGTGATGTCATAATAGACCTGTTAATAAACCTGTTAGACATGAACATTTCCATGAGCAGCTGCTTTTCTTCATTGGTAAGTTAGAAAGCATTAAATGAGGGGTGTTTGCTATCAGATTAAATACCTTGAGAATTTCCTAATTGTTTTTAGATCTTAACAATTTTAGGCAAATAATATTTGCACTGGGTCATGCTGAAGTACTGCATTCTTTTTTCCAAGTCAGTTTCATTGAAGTCCCCAAATAAGAAAAACATACATAGAAATGGGTGGAATGCTGCCAATCCAGATATTAAAAAGATTTTTAAGGCATCCTATTTATAAGCTACTTTATCCATCTTAAATTTCATTAGCAATACATTTTGGCTGCACCTGTGGTGCACCTCAGATAAATTATCATCAGTGAGGTTGTTGATAACTTAAATATTTTTCATTGTGCTGTTATTGTTCCCTACAGAAATATACCCACTTGTGCTGGAGTCAGATGGGAAACAGTATACAGAGCATTGTGGTTACACCAGTTTGAAAACACCAATTGTCTCCAATAATAGTACCCATCTCTGTTGTTGCGTTTCATTGAGTTATTGGAATTATTAAATGAGGCGTTGCATATGAAGCCTGGCACATGATGAATATGAGAGACTTGTGCCTTTTCTAATTCTGCCTCTATAGATTGCTGCCTACTTGTAGGCTGTGTCTTCTAATGACTACAGGAGATTACTAAATCAGTATTTCTACTCTCTTTTTCCCCTCCATATCAAGGGACAGCTTGTTTGGACTATATATTGAAATAACTATCCCCATGGACATGCTTTAAGTTCACCTATATTCATTTGATTATTCTCAGACAACTGTTTCTCCACCCTAATCAAATTTTACCACCATGATTCCATATTCTTTAAGTCCAGCCCTACAATTATATTTCCTACAAATATATCCTTGACTCCCAATGTTGTTTCTCCCAGTACTTCCCATCTCCATAAATGTTATCACCATCTATCCAGTTGCCCAAACCAGAAACCTGAAAGTCATTCCAGATTCTGTCTTCTCCCCTTTACCACACAGCTGATCCATCAGTTGCTGTCATGTCTACCCCAAAACCACACGCTTTAAATCTGCCAACTACCCCCCACCCCGCGCTCTACACACTAATCCAAGCATTTACCACACAGCTGATCCATCAGTTGCTGTCATGTCTACCCCCAAACCACACGCTTTAAATCTGCCAACTACCCCCCACCCCGCGCTCTACACACTAATCCAAGCCCCCATCGCCTCTTGCCTAGACAAAGGCAATAGATTCCTGAGCGGTTTTGTCATTTCCACTCTTACTGCATTCCCATCCAATCCCCACCAAGAGGTCAGAGTAAAATTTCTGAAACAAAAATCAGAATATGTTTTACCCCAGCTTAATTCAGTGATTTCCCATTGTATGCAGAATAAAATTCAAACTCATTATTATAGCCTGTAAACTTGGCTTGTCTGCCCCCAGGGAATGCCTCAGGGAATCCTCACCCAACCATTCTAGCCTGTTTCTTTTGTAGCACTGATATCAATTAATTATCATATATTTATCTTTGTCAGCGCTTGATTAATGTCTGTTTCCTCACTGATCTGTAAGTTCCATGAGAGCAGGGACTGTCAGTTTTGTTCATCAGTGTTTATCCAGTACTTTGTGTAATTCCTGGAACATACTAGTTGCTCAATAAGTGTTCATTGAATAAACAAATGAACTCATCCCAAATTCTAATTATGCCCTTTGTCAGAGTAACATTTTTAAATATTAAAATTGGTCACTAATAATATGGGTTGTTTGTGTGCCTGTCATTAAACCACTCGTAGAGATTTGTACAGATACTTCTAGGAACTTTGCTCCAAAAGCTTTCTAGAATTAGATCCCAAAGTCCTTATAGACATCAAAACACTGTAGGTTAGATGATGGATATTTTTGTTTTGATATAGATGTTCAAATTGGTCTCTTTCCTTCCATACTGTATTCTATTAAGATTTCTAGAATGATTACTCCAAACTGTAATATTCATAAGAGCTCAAATGAAAACAGCAATGTTTCCACCTCCTAAAGTAAGAAGTTAAAGCCAAATGTATTAATATACAAGTTTTAAATTTCTCTGTCACTATTGAATTTTTATAATGGTTTGTGTTTATTAGGAAAACATGTCTGGCACATTTATGAATGGTATAGCTTTAAGCATGCTTGGTAATCGTGGTTGGATTAATATTAGGCTACATGTTTTTACATGGTGCTATTTATTAGGTATAAAAGGCCACTTTGGTAATTTAAGTTAACATACACCAGAAAGTTAATGGGGGAAATAAATATTGAATAGAAGGAAATGACACTTGGAATCTTTTTTCATTGCGTTTTCACATTTTGTTCTTCATTCTTAAACTCATTTCCCTCTAAAAAGCAAGAGCATTGTATTGGGAAATAATGTGTCTTGAAATCCTCAGCCAGCAGCTTATGATCCAAGTGGTAATGACTTCTGTGATCGCTAATGAGGCAATGGACGTTGAATATCTCAGTGCATTCATTGGAGCCAGCCTCTTGCCTGTTCTACAAGAAGCTGTCATATCAAATTTTTGTCCTGACTCCATGGGCACTTTGATTCTTAAACCTTTCTGAGAAACCTAATCTGAAATCAAAGTCAAGTTTCTTAGATGTGGTTAGACAAGGTCACATTTAAAACAGTCCAGTGAACTTGCAGATCAAAGTTGAAAGGTAATGCTTCCCTCCCGAAATTGGCAGGGACTTACCTGCTGGCTTACCTTTCAGTTTCTAACCTGCCTTTTTCACCTCTTCCCGATGGGCTGGGAAAATGAGAGCTTATCCTCTGGAAAAATAGTTAAAGAGTTTCCTTAAATCATTTAATTAAGAAAATGGACACAGTTTTATTTTGGAAATGCACTTTTATCCCAATCAGTGAATCACAAGGCATTATATCGAAGAAATAACTCACTATTTCATAGTAGGACTTCTTTAAATCACAATTTCATGATCATTTCTTCAAGTTCATAGGCTTTATTTTTTACTTAAATTATAAAGATTTATCCACACTCTTGAGTGAACCAACATGCCACCCAGGATTGCTGCTGTAATGCTGTAGACGTTTTTTTTCCCACGCCGCCTTCCTTCCCTGTTGGGCCTTGAAATACTATCCAAAAAGGCACTTAGAAAAGGGGGGAATGGTGACTCTCATTAGGCATGATCATAACATCTCATGCCGCAGGTTTTTTTAATCAAACTCCTTGTGATTAGAAAACAACAACAACCTTGCCATTGCTTTATATTGCAGTGTTCTGTCTCTTGTGGTCGAGGGCATAAACAACGAAATGTTTACTGCATGGCAAAAGATGGAAGCCATTTAGAAAGTGATTACTGTAAACACCTTGCTAAGCCACATGGGCACAGAAAGTGCCGAGGAGGAAGATGCCCCAAATGGAAGGCTGGCGCTTGGAGTCAGGTGAGCAACGCTTCTCCTCTACCGACTGCTTCCTTACGTTTGGCCACGGGGCTGACACCAGTTCACTTGTGTTTCTCTGCACGGTTTTGGTTTTTCAGAGGGGAGCTTGGGGACTGCGAGGGAAGAATTTTTACCTAGATAGGACACTTACTAGCTGTATGACCTGTGTGACCTTGGGCAAGTGGCTCCAGCCCTAGGAGCTGTGGTTAATACCTACTGTAGGGTGGTTGTGAAGATACACTCTGAGTGGTAATAGGTGCCAGCTGTCTAGCACAGAATAGCCCCTCAGTACGTCGCTGATGGCATTATATTATCATTCACTACTTACAAAACCACTAATTCAGATTATATTAAATCTTACTATGATCACCTGGAAAAAACAGAGTCTGAATTTACCTTGGAGGTTCTTGAAGGAAAGGCTGTTGATATAAAGTATTAGAAAATATTTCTCTGCCTGTTTCCTGGTTTACAACAGAGGTAGAGGACAGGAGGGAGAGCTCCCTGTCGTTTTCTAGCTATGTGACCTTGTGATTTGTTTAACCTTCCTGAGCCAACTTCATATGGTTCTTATGAGATTTAATGCAATAATGAATGCCAAGTGCTTTGCACAGGGGTCTTAAATCTAATAGGCTCTCAAGAGCAATATTTTGTTTGGATGAGTGTTGATGTGTGTATCAGATGGAGAAGGGGGCTGAGTAATCAAGACACTGATACAGTTAGACTTCACTAATTCTAAACATTTGGCAAGCGAGTCAGGAACTGGGTGTGAGAGTTTCCCTAAGAACTTGGAAAAGGAGGTTGAAAAGCCTCTATTTACCTATAAACACTAGATATGTGAACTAAAGTCATCTGTATCTTGTCTTCAGAGTAGATCTCATAGCTGCACACCAATACATTTTCTCAGCTTGGCTGAAGGCGCTAACTTAAAAGTAATAAGGTTCAATTTCTTTTAAAATACTGTATATTTAATACTGGTCCTTCTGTCCATTGATCTGCTTCAATGAGATTTTGTTGTATTTCTGGTTCTCCCACACAGTGGGGAATCATGCAGGTGACTCCTGAGAATCAATGGAAAATTGGGTTCAAGGTTGGCAGCTTCTAGAATTGATTCTTCCAGAGCCTGGATCTTGATGTCTAAGGCCCCAAACGAAGTTTGGATGGAGCTGTATTAACATGGGGAAGATTTGAGAATCCTCCTTTTCAACATGACTAATAGAAACTTCCTCCAGAAACTGGAATTTTTCTTAAATGTCCTGAGCTAATATCAGCATCCTCTGTATTCCCCAGCCATACTCCACTTTACAGAAATGTAAAACAAGGTTCCCCAGCACAGGAGCATCTTTCCGCTCAAAGCCTTTATCATAATGAAACTTGGGGGCGGGGGGAGGTTGTTTGTTTTAATTTAACAATCAAAGAACCAGTACCAAGCCAGAGCTGGCTCTTCCTCTGGCCTCCTTAAGAGATCACAGTCAAGGCAGTATTTCATACTGGTCATCCCTCTTAATAGTTTCTCTAAGTGACTGCTCTCAAAAATAAAACTTCCTGTACCTTTATTTTTGGGGCTGTTCATTTCATTTAAAAGCTCTCAGCTAACATTATTTAAGATACCACAGTAATTAGCTTGTCCTCTTATAGACTTTCATGCTCTATTACTTTTCTTTATGTTCCCTCGCCTCTACTTATCAATTTGCATTTCTCCCTGAATATTAAGTGTGGAGCATGTAAATGATGCTCATTTTGAAGGCCAATTTATTCACTAAAAGGACGATTAAAAGAATCTTTTGCTTTTCGTTGGTAAACACAGAGTGAGCTCCACTCCAGCACCCTGTGATCTTGATGGGAAGCCTAAAATTGCTTACAAAGCTGGGATGATTAGGTTTAAACCCTGGGGGGTTTTGTGAACATAAGGTAATAGGATTATCAGAATGCCTCCCCAGAAAAAACTGCACCTGTTCAAAATGATTGCTTAGAAAAGTCAAGTCACCTTTGTAGAAAATGCAAGTAAACATAGTTATGTAATGGTTTGTGGCCAGCTTGATAATGTCCTGATTTGATTTGTAGAAATGAATTATACAAGCAGGCAAGACAAGGTACTGCATGGGTAAAATTTGATTTGTGCAATTTAGAAGTGTACCTGAAAATAATCAGACCCAATGTTTGATGGAGAAAGATGGTCTTTATGATTAAAAATTATTGGCTTACTAATGATCCAGTGGTAAACAGAAGTATCGCTAAGGCAGCAAAATTAATCAAGAGTAATGATTGTCCATTTGCAACAATATTTAGAAGATTTTATATCTGGTCTCTCTGTTTTCTGCTGGTAGCTATGTTCCAGTCATCCTGTCTTTAAGGTAGGAAGAATAATTAGTGGAATTTCTCATCATGTCAAAATGTCTGATGATAGTAAAAAATATAGGTTGTTGGGTAGGAGACTACTATAGCCATGCTAATCTTCACAGTCTCTCCCCCAAAATTAGTGTTTTGAGGTTTAAAGTGGCATATTTCATTTCTGTATCTTTTGAAATCTTGAATTTGTAAAGTAAATCAGCTTTTTTTTTGAGAACATTATCACTAAAGTCTTAAAAAACTTTTTTTCAAAAGTTTATGTTCAATTTGTTTAGGTGTTTTTGATCGAGAGCAAAGGATTGCCCAAGAAATTTTAAGGCTAAATCCAGCATCAATTCTTAATTCACTCTGATAAATGTGAAGATACTGTATTCCCATGATACTGAAACACTCCAGAGTAAAATTTTTTTAACTTATTCTATTCCTATAGAAAAATTTTTGTTTTGTTTTGTTTGTAAATCAGAAATAAAAAGAATAAACGATCAGATCAGAATAAAAGTAAAACTTCACCATCATTAATCAGTCATGAATTCAGTCAATTCATTTATCAACCCCGAGATGCAGGCCTTTTTCACAGTTTAACACCTTTGTGATCAGGATGGGCCTTACAAACTATGGAATACCATTATTTAATTAACAGCCCTTGCTTTCTTTCTTAGCGATACAAAATATAATGGTGTGTCTTGCCATCAGTAGTTTCTTAAATTCGATGAAATAAGAATTAATTTTTAAAATATCTTCAGTGCTAATGCCAAAATGTAAAGTGGCAGATTGTGTTATGAATCAACTAGCCATTTTTAGCTAAGACTTTTCTTGTAATTACAATGAGAGCCGTCTGGCTGTGGTGTCTGATTCTGTAGTATCCTTCAAGTGTTTAACAGAGAAATGTGGCAAATGTGTAACTTGTGTCCTTTGAGAAATTAAGGAAACCACATGCACATGGTCAGTGATGAGAAACAGAGTTGCTTTAGTGAGCGGTGCTCTCCACTTATTCTTATTTGAACTGTGAGCATTGATGTTGAATTGTTTGAATACAGCTTTCTCATCTACACTTCTGCTGACATAGAACAAAAGACTGCATCATATCAACACTTATTTAAAAACTGGGAGCCAAATCCTGATTCACAGTAGCTATGCTACATTGCCTAGAGCAGAGTTTACTTTGTTTTCTGTTTTTGTTTTTGCTTGAGCTAGGGTGATTATCTCTGTTCTTTGCTTTATTGATTTGTGGAGTATCTACCTAAAACCTTTATTAGGAAATATAAAAGATATTTTATGTAAAATGCTTAGCATAGAACTAAGCTTTCAACCGTGGGTGATTTTGTACCCCATTGGACATCTAGCAATGTCTGGAGACAGGTTTGATTGTCACAGCTTGGGGGATGAGGGGGGATGCAACTGACATCTAGTGGAAAGGGGCCAGGGATGCTGCTAAACTTCCTACAATGCACAAGACAGCTCCCACAGCAAAGAATTTTTCCGTCGAGAAACCCTAGTATAATAGTATCTGGCATATAGTAAGTGCTTAGTAAATGTTTGTTATTTTTATTATTTATAAAAATGGTTTATATAGTTATTTTTCAAGTTAGTTTCTCCTTAATGTCACCACCATAATCTCAGCAGTAGTACTGGAAGAAAGTATGTAAAATTCTTTCCTGGTTTTCAAGTGTACATTATGATCGCAAAAACATCAAAAGTTCCATGGAGATTCTTTTTATCTGTGGAAATAAGTATCAGGTCCCTTTTTCCAGCTGGTGAGTTCTGCATACTAGAATTGCACAGTAGGGAGCAGAGAGAGATGAAACATAGCTCCCAGCTCAGTAGATCAGAACTAAAAACATCTACTTTCAAACCTGCAACATGCTGGAATGATGACTGTTGGGGGAGCACATTAATACAGATGGCTCAGACATTTTCGTCTGCAAAATAACTAAAGGGATACTAAGTCAAATGAGAAAAATTAATCATACACACCACCCACCACCACCATCACCACCTCCAGAGGTGTGGTGCAGAGGTCTTTCTGATGCTGTTTTATTCATGCGCTTTCTGCAGAAATCTCTCAGAATTCGCCAAGCAAGCCTGGCTGAGCCTATATGCAAATTGTCACCTCCCTTGAGACAGAGCAGGAAAAAAGTTGAACACAGAGAGCTAACTCTCATGCAGTGCACCTCGTTTTGAGCAAGATTAACATGGATGCATTATTCAGAAAGGAAGTTCTTGTACCTTGCTATGTATTTAAAGCCATGTCGAAATTTTGGAATATGTTCTTTCAAAGCGGGCTTTGACATTATGAAAATCAGAAGGCAGAACAACATTGTATGACTGAACCTTCCTTTGTCTTAATTTGGCTTTTGAAAAATTATCAAACATTGTAGGAAGTATTTTTTAAATGTTGGATACTTACGGCTCTTAATACCTTGCCTTCATTGAACCATACATAATTTACTCAATAATAATAACATCAAAAAGAGGTTTTCTTTACTTAGTAGCCTGAATATTATTATACACTCTAAAAGTCTTTAACATTTTTTTTCATTTTTCTTTAGGAAATTAAAACATCATGAGATTTTTGAATATATATTAGCCCTAAGCCCAACTAAAATTTGTTTACAGTATTATTATTCTGTCTTTGTATTTCTATTTGGATACATTGTTCCAGAAATGTACTTTTTAATATTTAAGTTCTCAAATTTAAATAGCCAAAGGGTTTTTTTGTTGTCACTGTTGTTTGTTGCTGTTGTTTGCTGTTGTTGATGATGATGTTTGAACATTTCTATAATTCATGCGATAACTCTCCCGTGTTACAGTTCATTCTTTTCCAGTGTAATCGATGGGAAATATTATTCATGTAGCTCCCATAAGCATTAAGTGGCCATTCTCTGGAGACAGGGCCATCACGTACATTCAGAAATCCTCCCATTACACCCAAGACATAATGACTTGAAAAGTCTGATTTCTTGTGGGTCACAAACTCATTCACTCCAATTAATACGATTAAACCCAAACAATAGTAGCTATGTTGATCCAAACCATTTTCTTCTCTTCAGCTAGCTTTGATGTGACCGTATGAGCCTTCCCTCTGGTGCAGATTAATCTGAAACAGTAATGATTTCCCAAGCAGCCTTCTAAATAGTATCACCTATTTTTTTTAAATCTGAAATGTAGAGAAAATTAATATTTAGCAGAATTCATTTGGGTATGCGTCTTGATAGTAAATTTCCATTAACCTCAGAGAGAGTTGAATGCTGCTGCAGGTTAATTGACCAAGAATTTCTTTCTAGTTTAAAACAGCGTGATTCTATTCTTTAAGAAGACTTCCTCTTAGGAATATGGCTTTAATATATGTTAAACTTGTTTTCTCAACATCCGACAAATTAATGAAGGCTGCGCTATCACAAACATTTAGTAATAGTTTTCAATAGCTAAGTATAATAATCTGCCATTCTTTCCAAACAAATGTTGCCTTTAGTTTCTGACTGTCAAAATCTTAATAAAGACAATAATTCTCGGCTTGCCCAAGAGTGAGATTATGAAACCCAGCAATGAGGAAGCCATTAAAAAATTAATTTAGAGGAAAGTTAATTGCAGATTTAATATGATGTTTTTCAACTTGGTCAACAAAATGTTTCAGCATGATTAACAGTATTTTCCAAGAGCTGAAAACATTAAGCCTGAGGAAATGGCTTTTCCTTGTCAGATTTATTCTTCATATATTCATCTGAGGTTGTAAATAGACACAAATACTTTAGTGAATTCCATGGTTTAAAAAAAAAAGAAAAAATCTCCAGGAATAGGAGCAAAAAAAGGAAGAGACTGGAGAAAATAATTCTACTTATAAGGCCCTAAAATCTTCAGTAGCTTACCCTGCTTGGGTTATACTTTTAATACTCCAAGAAGTTCTTTTTGTACAGTACCGTATCTCCAATTTCCAAGAACCTCAAACCCTCCAGGACAGAAATCATTTAAAATTTTCATTTCGCATGACAGCGCTGTTTCTAGGTTGTGCTAAATGTTTCGTAATGATCTCTTCCAACCTCTTCAGTTCTCCAAGAGTTTTGTTAACTTTAGAGATTCCTCCGAACTTGAATACTTTCCTCATTCTCCAGCACTGAAAGCGGTGAGTTTCCAGATTTAAGACATTGTCTTGGGTCCCTTCCATTGGAAATTAGAAAGCTATGAAAGTTATTGGGTTAAAAGTGCATTCCCCTCCTCTGTGACCCTCGCCACCACCCGCCTCCCAAAATGAGCTGAAATTCCCACTTACGTCCTCTGTCTTCTTAGTGCTCTGTGTCCTGTGGCCGAGGCATTCAGCAGAGGCATGTGGGCTGTCAGATCGGAACACACAAAATAGCCAGAGAGACCGAATGCAACCCGTACACCAGACCGGAGTCAGAACGTGCCTGCCGAGCCCCACCGTGTCCTCTCTACACTTGGAGGGCAGAGGAATGGCAAGCAGTAAGTACAGCCATGAAGTGGGCACTGGCCAGGCTATTCGCTCAATCCCCTTGCTGTCATCACATCCGTCCCCCTGTGAAGCCAGCAAAGCCATCGAGCACGGTGACAATCCTGGCTCTTTCCCAAAAGTTTTGCTGTCAGACTCGAATGTTCACTCCAGTAAGGGAGGGAGAGCTTCTCGTTTTTAAGCAATTCCTATGTCTGTCTGTGTTTCTGAGTGTTCCAAGTCTGGCTGCATCAGGAAAAAAAAAAAAAAAAAAAAAAAAGACCTTGAGCCAAATGCATACAGATAACTTCCACAGAAGGAGGGGGAGATGGAAGGAATATTTTAAATATGTGTATCCAGACTTGGTCATTCTTTATGAGTTTAAATAGCCACAAGGCAGACTTTAGGTAGGACCTACTTTGTTTTTCCTCTTTCGGTGACTCTGGCTGTCAGGTAGAAGATGGGCACTCATGTGAAACCCTGAGTAATTAGTGAAGGATTTCCAACATTTAATATAATGATGAGATCTGAAGAAATAGCTAAGTTGTTGCAGAAGTTGAACAGACTTGTTTTTCCCCCCACTCCAAGTTAATGTTTGGTTAAAGAAAACACTAAGTGTCCCTGGGGAAAAGTCTGGCTAGGAAGGTAAGACAGTGGGAGGTAGCTTTAGTCTCCAGGATGGAAGATCAGATTATAGAAAAGCAGGAAAAGAAAATTAGAAACCAAAACCGTGTCCACTGACTTTGGCACGAAATACAAAGTGTATGCTATTTAAGGTGCAGAGATATGGATAACAAGACAGGAAATTCCACCTTGGGAATGGCTTTCAGAACACAGGGAAAGGGTACAGTTTGGGGAGCAGTTATACTGTACCTGGAACTGTGCTGGGTGCTTTATATTCATCACCTTGCTTAATGTTTTTAACCACTAAACGAGGTGGACATAATTATCATCATCCCATTTTACAGGTAAGAAAACTGAGGTTTGGAGAATCCATGTCATTTATTCAAATGTCACATACCTAGCAATTGAAAGAGCAAGACTTGGTGCAGTTTGTCCTCTTAAACTAAGATGAGATACTATGACTGCATTCTTTATCCATGTAAGGATCCAGCAGCCCAGCCCTGTCCTCCCCTACTCCCTCACCGTCCTGGTGGAATAGTTCCATTGTTTGCAGTCTTTTTCTTTAGGAATCTTACCCTCCCCATCTACTCAGTCTTTTTGCTTGTTTTCCTTCTAGACATTTTTATTTCCTTGACTTTTAAGAATGCCTAAAGTAGTTAAGTTTCAGATTAATTGCACTTGAGCCATACAAGTTATTGGGAACCTCAGAGACTACCAAATATTACAGACCTGGTTCCTATCCCAGCACTGCCACGTATTAGCCATGTGACTTGGAACAACGGTTCTTCATTTCTCTGTGCCTTTGTTTCACCGTCTGTAGAATGGGGATCATAATAAGTATGCAGAGCTGTTCTGAGAAAGTTGGAGATAACATTGCTATTTATCATCAGTTATGGTTTGAGGATTGGCATGGTCAGATATAGAAGGAAAAGGAGGCTCCCTCCTTTCTCTCCCTCAGTGTTGCCTCTTGATTCTCTTTGAAATTCTTGTTTCAGACCGACCACTGCCTGCTTTCTCTCTCTCTCTTCCTTCCATGCCAAAGTCAACCCTGTGTAACGGCTCCAATGAGCGGAAAGTAAAAGTGTTCAGAAGTGAATCTAAGCTGACTGCTCACGCGTTAGCCAGCTTTTGAAAATGCTAGAGCCAATCATAAGAATGCAAGCTCCATTTACAATTCCTTCTGAATCCCAAAGAATGGGAAAACCTTGCCACATATGCACTGAGGAAATTCCTCTTCTCTGATCATTCAAAATGTGCCTCAAAGTTTAGTCTTTGCATATGCTGTGCAGATGGATCTTTTTAAAACCTTCCTCAAATATTGCTATCAAACTCCGAATAAGAACTGAAGACCTGAGGAGATAGCTTGACCTGGGCCAGTATGTGAGAAGTTTTCCAAAGGCGAACCATTCTCACAAAGAGAAAAGACTGTAA